GGCAGGTGTGCTCTATAGCCAAATCAGAGGTGGCTGAGGCTCGTATTCAACTCACTGCATACCTCCTTTGGTGGCTATGGAAGTCCCGTAATCTTTGTCTCTTTCAAAATTCTCTTATGCCAATCCCTGCAGTGATCAAGTCGGCCATGAGAGACTGGGATGAATTTGCAGTTGCGGTCTCTTAAAGCTTGGTTGTGTTTTAGTTTCTTTCTTTTGTCCTTCTTCTTATTTGGTCAGTTGTGTCAGAATCCAGTCAAGTATACTAGGCTTTTGCAGTGGTATATTAGGCTTTATTCTCAGTTGGTTTGTTTTTGTTTTTTCGGTTTACTCCCATTGGGGGATTTCTAGGCCGCTTGCACGCGTGTCCTCTCTATTTTCTTTTCTTTTGGCTGTGGGCCCCGATTGTATTGAACTATGTCTTTGGTTTGAGTCTTATAATATCTCTCTTTCGTTTCGAAAAAAAAAAAACTTTTGTTCATAAAATTTTTAAAAATATATTATTTTCATTGATTTGCTTATGTTGAATTGAGAAAACTTATGTTTTTTAATTACATATAGGGAGGTTATAAGATTTCTTATATTTTTATGTAGTATTGTTTGTTATGTTTTTGTGCTTATTTTTATGTGTTTATATGTGTTATCGAGTCATTTTTAGGTTCGTTTTAGTGTCGTCCGGTCCATTTTGTCGTTTTTCAAGTGTTTTTGTGTTTTTCATTTTATTTTGTATCTTGGCGTACTTGTCCGTGCTTTTGATAGATTTTCAGGTCTATTTTGAGGATGAAAAGAAACTCGAGTCAATTCCGAGCCAAGCCAAGTCATTTGTACGAACATTTCCGGTCGAGTATGTCGAGCCTTAGTCGACCACGCGGGAAGCTCCGCGACCACGAGAGCCCCTCATGCGCGCGTCCGCGACCGCGCGAGAGAACCGCGACGTCGAGAGCCCTCCATGCTACCGCCCGCGCGCGCGAGACCAGCCGCGACCTCGGGAGTGTCTTCGCCGTGCACCTGTGCTGTCTAGCACTCGCGAGCTCGCGAATTTCATGGAGAGCTCGGGAGTGTCTTTTTAATTGTGCGTTTTTCTAGTGTGTGTTTGGAGTGGAGTATAAATATTTTTCTTCCTTTGTATTTTGGGGATCCAAATTTCATTTTTCATTTTTTCCACTTTGAGAAATCAGCTTTTATTTTATTTTGCTCTCTAGATTAGGATCTTATGCTATTTTTCG